CTTAAATTTTATACAAAATGTGGCCCAGTGAGGAAGCTTTAATTGAAGCCTGACAGTCTGGTGTAATTACGCTACTCTCGATTTGTTTTAGCAACTGAATCAGCCTTACTTGCGACTCATTTATGGGATTTTGAATGGAAGGTTTAAAGAAAACACTATATAAAACCTTTATTATTAATAAGCTACACTGCAACCCCCTCAGAGAAATACTCTGAGCATTTTGAAGAGTGAGTGACTTCATCGGTAGTTTTTACATCAGAGTTTGGTTCTGACATGCAGCCTGTCATCAAACTAAAGCAACCCTTTGATTAATAACATGCCTGGAAGCCAGAGTGTCTGCCACAGAGACACATTAGCAAAAATAAGTTCCTTCACTCTGCTTTTTCTGCAAAATACACTGATCCCTGGAAACTGTTAACAGATTATTGTTTTTTATATGCAAAAGTCAGATACATCAGTTTAACAACAGTACAGTTAATGTATATTCTGCACTGCTGTTTAGATGCCAAACTGCATTTTGTTGCCTTGTACTTGTGTAATAACAATAACGTTGAATCGAATCGAATCTAACTGACCGAAGAAGAAGGGTTTTGTTACATGCGTGCTTTAATTAGGGATTTCTTCCTGGCCTCAGGTGGATTTCTTTGTTCGACCCAAGAAATGTTGACCCATTCAGCAAAAAACTTGACCAAATTAGTACACATCTTTGGTCAAAAGGTAGAGATTGAAAAGGAGGTCAAGAGTTAGGGGAAAAAAGTTCTGTATTTTATTACACTTTAATAAAATGTCATTGTTTTTTCTGTCCATAACATATTCATGTTCATCACAGTTCTATTAAAAATGATTATTTTTATTAATCTTTCATAATACTTATAAAACCTATTGTGCTTGCAAAAATGTTATTCTCAAAGCAAGAATTTAAATAAATACACTGTTTTGATCATAAAAAAAATACACGGAATTAAAGGCCTGGCATTCCTTTAAGGAATGCAGGTCACCCTCTGCATTAATGAAATGCAGGAAGCTATTCAGAGAAAGAGATTAGCCACAAAAAAATATGACACTAAAGTTTATTATGAGTTGTATGAGAGGCTGGACGCTAAAGAGGTCAAGTAGGACTTGTACCGATTGGTGAGACAGAGGGATCAGGCTGGAAAGGATGTGCAGCAGGTTAAGCTTGTTATTGATAGAAATAGTAATGTTCTAACAAGGGAGAAGTGTATGTTGAGGAGCTAATGCACGATCGACATGGAATTTTTAATCCATCCATCCATCCATCCATCCATTATCTTTTACCCGCTTCTTCCATTTTGGGTCACGGAGGATGCCGGTGCCCATGTCCACATGTCCAGCAATCACTGTGCGAGGGGCAGTGTACACCCTGGACAGGTTGCAAGTCCATCACAGGGCCACATAGAGACAAACGAGACAAACAACCATTCACTTTCACACCTAGAGACAATTTAGAGTTACCAATCAGCCTAACATACATGTTTCTGGTCTGTGAGAGGAAACCGGAGTACCCAGAGAAAACACACGCATGCATGGAGAGAACATGCAAACTCCACCCAGAAAGGCACCTGGACCAAAATTTGAACCAGGGACCTGCTCACCGAGAGGCAGCAGCTCTACCAGTTGTGCCACTGTGCTGCCCTCGGATGCATCTGGTCAGAGGATCTAAGAGCATGTGATGTCATGTAAAGGTGAAGCAGTTCAGACAATTAAGAAAAACTAAGACCGTTCAAAGACTTAAAAACAAACAATAGAATTTTAAAATGGATTTGAAATGGGACAGGAAGCCAGTGAAGGGACATCAGAACTGGAGTGATGTGCTCTCGCCTGTCTGTACCAGTCAAAGATCGTGCAGCAGCATTTTGTACCAGCTGTGACTGTGAGAGCGAGGCCTGGCTAACTCCTATCAAGAGAGTTACAATAATCCAGGCGTCAAGTAATAAAAGTGTGGATTACTGTCTCCAAGTGGTGCCTAGAAAGGATGGGCTTGATTTTTGACAGGCGCATCAGCTGAAAGAAAAAGGATTTAACCACGTTGTTGACATGGCAGTCAAGTTTCAGGCAGGGGTCCATTTTCACTCCTAAATTTGTCACAATGGATTTTTCATATGGGGCCAAAGAGGAAAAGTCAAAGGTGGGGAAACTGCTAGGACCACAGGATTTAAAGACCATAACCTCAGTCTTTTTTTCATTAAAACGGAGTAAATTAAGTGCCATCCATCCTCTAATGTCGTGAAGATGGTCCAGGAGAGACTGAGTGGCGCCATTATATTTCAAAGGGAGGTAGACTTGACAGTAATCTGCATATAAATGAAATTGCACACCATGCTTTCTGAAAATAGAACCCAGTGGCAGAAGATAAAGTGAAAACAGGAGAGGACCAAGAAGAGAGCCCTGGGGTACTCCCCCCAGGGGAGGGCAGCAGAAGCAGAGGTAAAATGATCCATCATCACACTGAAATTTCTATCAGAAAGGTAGGACCTAAACAACTGCAGAGCTGAGCCAGTGATGTTCACCCACTGTTCCAATCTGGAGATGAGAATGTCATGGTCGACGGTGTCGAAAGCAGCTGTTAAATCTAAAAGCACAAGTAAAACACAGTTTCCAGAATCCAGTGCTAAGAATATCTCATTTAAAACCCTTAAAAGAGCAGATTCAGTGTTGTACATTTTGAAACCAAACTGGAAGAACTCCATAATTTTAAATTCATCCAAAAAGGCCTTCAGTTGTGTGTAAACAACTTTGTTCCAAAATTTTGGATACACAGGTAAATGGTAACTTTGAGATTGGCTTAAAGTTTGACAAAGAGGATGGATCAAGGCCTTGTTTTTTCAACAATGGCTGCACCACAGCATGTCTAAAATTGCTTGGTACCACACTAAACATCAAACTGCTGTTGATCACATTTAAGATAAAGGGGCCAACAGTAGAAAATACCTCCTTACTAAAACATGGAGGAACAACATCAAGGGGGGAACCTGACAATTTCATACTGGTGACCAGTTTCTCTAGAGAGGAGAGGGAAATAGGCTCCAAACGATCAAAAACAGGGGACAGGGTATCAGGATGGAAGGGGCATGGGATGGAAAAAAGATACAAGCCCTGATGTTAATAACCTTGTCCAAGAAAAAATGAAGAAACTTATCACAAAGTTCTCCGGATGCTTCAAGAGGGACCGGTTCATGTGCATTGATGACAGTGTTGATTGTATTATAAAGAACAAGGTGGTTGTGAGAGTTAGCAGCAATAATGTCAGTAAAATATATTTTACTCTGGCTGTTTTCACAACTCGTTGATAGCGCCACCAACTCTCTTTCAGTATATCAAAAGAGACTTGGACTTTGTCCTTTCTCCACTTGTGTTCATTTCTCCTGCATTCCTGTCTAATGGCACGGGTATGGTCACTCAACCTTGGGTCCGATCTTGGCTTTGATCGCCTGGTTTTTAATCGGGCCACATCATTCAAAACAGAATGGCATAACAAAAAAATCACATCATGTTGCTGCTGATCTGTTTCATGTTGCTGCTGATCTGTTTCATGTTAATGTGTTCATGCATGCTCATCTTCTCACACAGACTTATGTTCGTGCTGCTGTATGGATTTTTTTTTAATGCTATTAGTGCTTAGTGTATATTTCCTTGATGTTTTTCTTGTTCACATCTTGGATCTTATTACCGTTTTTCTTATACATTTTATTGTTGGATGTAACTGGGACCCTGTACATAATTTTGTTCCACCACATGTACAACATGTGGTGCGAACGATAATGAAGAATATCTGAATCTGAATATTCTGATTTTTGAGCTGCACCTGTATTAACTGTGAGGACTTAATGTTACACCAGTTTTTTTCTGTTCTGAATGACTTCCAGGTCATAAAACTTCAGTCTGGATTTCTTTAAGGACTGCAGGGACTGAAGTTTTTAAAAAGCTTTAGTTTCCATTTTTGCTGCAGAATGGGATGTTTTTCTTTAGTTTCCTTTAAATGTTTTTCAGAATTAATATTGCTTAGTCATTAGGTAGAAAAAAAACTCCTGAAGTCCCAACTACATTTCTCTTGTGTCAGTTTTGTTCTTTTTATGTTGGAACTGCTGTCTTTGTCCAAACAACTCCATCTCATCTGCACAGAGTTCATGACATACTTTCCTTTGTTCAGAGAAGAGTTCACAAACACATATGATTTCATGTTAAACCCACAGAGACCAGCATTGTGTGCTATTAAGAGTTTCTGTACTGAGATGTTTGCAGATTTGATCATCCATCTTGACCCGCTTTTTCCTTTTCATGTCACTGGTGCCCACATCCATCTATCACTGTGCGAGAGGCGGGATACACCCAGGATGGATGACAAGTCCATCACAAGGCTGCATTGAGACAAACAAGACATACATTCAGATCATTTTATACAAGTGGGACTGACAGTCCAGTGGTTAAAGGGTCCTAGATAATCCCTGGAAAATGAGCAGTTAGTAGAAAGCAGCATGATTATTAAATATCTCTCTTAAAAAAGTTTTTGTACTTAAAAAAGTGACAGCATTTTCTGCAAAAATGCAGTCCTGCTGGACTTCAATGAAAAAGCTGAAACTGAGTTCTTGGAGCCAATAGAAGAGCACCTAGCTAAAAGCAGCCAAATGTTAGCTAAAGGTTGCAAATGGCTAACCAAAGGTTAAGTGGCTAAAAGTTGCAAAAGGCTATCAGGGAGCTGAGTAGTAAAATGAAGGATAAAATTTAAAAATTGAAAAGCTAAAACTAAAAGTAGGAACAAGCTAAAAACTAAAATCAGCTTAAAAAGACAAAAATAAAGCAAGTAAGCTGAGGCAGCTTTTTTAAATAAAATGAAAGAAACTGAATGTTGTAAATGGTGGAGTGATAAAACAACGGCTGAAACGTGCAGAAGCCAAGTTGTTGAAGCTAAAAAGCACAACTGTAGCCAAAAAGCTTGCTAAATGGTTAAATGTAGCACATGATAAAAATGAGCAAGTATCTAAAGCAGATTTTAAAGAGAACAAGGTTTTTCAATTAAATACTGATCCCAATGCATTTCTATGCAGAAAGTTTAAATTGTCAGTCTAAAAATATTAAGATAGTTTAAAACAGAGAAATAAAACAAAGAAAATTTGTATTCTTATTTTTATTGACAGCACAACGAACAAACTTAACACTCCTTTACATTTCAGTTTGTTAACATTCTGCAGTGGCACGTTTTTATGTGTAACCACAGTCTTTTCTAAGTACAAAAGCAAGACAAAATCAGGACGTATCACAATTAATAACAACTAAAGTAGAAAAGCAGTACAAGAAATGTTTACTGCAGCTTTATTAAGGGTCACATTTCATGATCTCCCGGAGGCAGATGGTAGCGTAGCAGGATGAGTCCAGATCTAAGTTTAAGGTAAGATAAGGAGAGTCTGAGCTCTGCTTCATTTCTCCTGCTGCTCCTCCTCCACCCTCCATGGCTGCTCTCTGTAGCCGGTAGCTGAAGTTCCGCGGCGCTGCCAGCAGAGGGCGGTAGCAGCCAGGCACGTTCAGTTTGAGGCTGTTGACCCTGAAGCGACAGTCGGACAGTCCATCTCTGGCCAGCTGCTCCTGGTACCAAGTCCCCATGGCATTTTCTGGATATTTCACGGTGTTTCCTGGCATCGGTAGCAACACCTAACAGAATAAGAAATGCATGTTAAAGAGCTTGAAAATCAAATTTAATAAAACGGGTAAAAATAATCCAAGAAACTCCATACTTGTCCGAGTGTGTATACTCCTGCTTGTTCGTCCTCGTATGTCACCACATGGATCTGGAAAAAGACATGTCCAGTGACTATGATTTAATTATGGACAGCAGCAAGTTACAAGTATGAAGAATAAGAACAGCAATAATTATAATAATAAGAAGAACAACAACAAGAAGCAGAAGCTATGTGGGTCATCATCATTGCATGTTTCTATACAAAGACAAATTTACTTATCTGTATTCAACCCACCACATGCGACTACACCCAGGTGGAGCAGTGGGCAGCTATGTAGGAGCCCGGGGAGCAGTTAGGGATTAGGTGTCTTGCTCAAGGACACAATGACATGTGGGCATGGTGCGAAGTTGAACCCGTGACATTCTGGTCCCAAGCCAGCTGCCCTATCTCTACACAGCAGTCACTAAGCTAACAAGAAAAGAAATGTCTTCTTGATGTTTTTACCCGAGAGCTGGTTCCACCAGTGTCCTCAGTTTGGTTCTGACCCGTCTGTGCCCACACCAGGTCTCCTTGTCTCACACAGTGACCCATCGTAGACAGCCTGTGTGCCACAGCCTCGTTCCACACCCTGACACACAAACAGCGCACCATTAACAACCACAGCAAGGATTTAGGTATTTAGAGCCGATTGAAAATTCAGAAACTCATGCTGAACTAAAACGTTTGGAGAACTTTTGTTAAATCATTTCATTTGAAACAAATTATGAAACTTCAAATCGTTTGAATAACAAAACTATAAGTCAGATGTGAGGTTAAAGCTCCGCTGACCTGCTGCAGTAGGCGTGAGGGTAGAAAACTCTCATACTGTGGGGCAAACTAAGCCACGCCTGGACGCAACCATCTGGGCCGCCACCGTATCTGTTCAGAGCCCGGAGCATCAGACGCTCTCTGGGTTTAGACAACGGCATCATCGCAAGGGCCTCCTTAGCATTATCTGGTGTGGAGAGGAGCAAAGACAGGAAGGAGTCAACATAACATGCACAGTGAAGTTCTGCTGTCTAAACTGAATAAATAAATAATTAAAATGATTACCGGTTTGGAGGAAGTGTTTCTTTGCGAGATTCTGAGGATCATCGCCATCATCCGGGGTGAAAAACAGATGCACAGCACTAACCTGACAACAAAATGTACCCAGGCAACAATGTACAGACTGAAAACATTAGTGGAGGATGTGAATCTTGACACCATCTCTCTTACCATGTTCTCTTTCAGCAGAGCTAGTCCGACTCGGTCAGACGGAACGCTCTGTCCACTCCCAAACCTCTGCGGTCCATAGTAGTTGACGAAACCTCTCCTCTGAAGAGAAACACCAAGGTGATAGTTTTGACTCATGTGAACTGGGACAGGACTTAAGTTTCTTATTAAAAAAAAATAAATAAAAGTACCTTAACGTTCTCTACCGCCTCCTCCACCAGCTCTGCTAGACGAGCGTGCACGTCTGCACCTGAACCGTGCTCGTCAACGGGCCCGTGCGGTCTGAGGTTGCGGACCACCAGGTCAAAGTGATTTCCCTGCAGCCGTCCCAGCTTCAGAGGCTCCCCGACGGAGCGGATCCGAGACAGACGCATCCCCCTCTTCTCAAATTCTGCAGCCTTCTCTTTCAGCCTAACGACACATCACATCTGTCAGACACGCATTAGAACTTCTTTCAACTTTGCCTGAATTTGGTCTGTGCAGCGATCGATACCGTTGAGGCGAGACCTTCTTCACCACCATGGACTGGAAGGTGATGGCTCTCTTATCTTTGGTCCCGGCGTAGGTGAAATCGGACGGCAGGACTCCGAGAGCAGCTGCCATGTAGCTGATGGCCTCCAGAGTCTCCAGGTTCTCCTTACACAGAGTGAAGGCTGAGAAACACAAACAACTGTGTGTATGTGGTTAACACTGAGGGTCTAAAAACAAAATAACCCCTTCCAGTTTATTTCAGAATTGGAGATGCATTGTTTTCCCAGACGATGCTGTTTGTGTGAAACCCTACACCATACCTGTGTAAAGGTCTTCTTCTTTGCGCTCTTCTGCAGTCCTCTTCTTTGGCTTGCCGTGATCCCTCAGCCTAACCGAGATTGCCGTCATCCCCTGGTTGCTGAAGCTTTTCGTCTCCACCAGCTTCCCAAACCTTCGGTTCAGGAAGTGATGGACTGCTGTCCTGTGCTCCTTATTGTCATCAGGTCCAAACGTATAGGACGAGCCTCGCACTTTGGCGTCGATGAACCTAAAGAAGTCCTCCGCTTCGTCCTCTTTAACCAGCCGGGCAAGCTCCCTGTAGTCCGGGTCTTCCCTGACCCTGATCTCAGGTTGAATGGTGACCGTCATGAGGAAGGGGAAGCGGTGCCTCACAGCCCTGTGGACGTTGGCTCGCTGGTGTTTGTCTGAGAAGAAGCCCAAGGACAGCTCCAGGCCAACTTGCTTTTTTTCTCTTAGCGTCAACACAAACTGCTCGAGATCTTCACTCACCGACTGACCTAAAATCACATCTAAATCAAAACTCCCTAAACTAGGCAGAGGGGTGTCCGGCCCCCACTCCGAGGAGCCATCAGTGTCCTGTGGGACTGAATAGTGAGCATTCTCCTTCAACTCCACGTTGTCTTCCTCCGAGAAGGCGCAGCCTGGCCTCTGCAAGGCTTGTGCTGTTCTGACGTTTTGCCCATTGCTGTCGATCTCACTCACAACAAAGTCCTCAGTGAAGTTTTTGATGCTTCCAAGAAATCCTTCATGGTTTGACAGGAAGTACGCAGGGACGCTTCCAGCCTCATCGCCCTGTTTCATGGTCACCTTAAAATGCACAACTTATTATTTTAGCAAAAAGACAAAAAATACAATGTTACACACTTGAGAACGACTGCAATACCACTGCGTTCAAAGTATAAATAATATGCTGTAATTTCAAAGAGGCAAATAAAATTACAGAGGGAGAATAAATGACTTGTTCTTTACCGACGCATCGTCAGGACTAACCTATCTGTATTTCGATGACAGAGAACCGTTTTCTGTTCCGACAAACAAAATGAACATAGTTCTCCTTAAACTGGAACAAGCGCGGATTTTGACTTTAGAAAACAGAATGCAGCTGTTTGTTTACGCAGCGACGCAGCGTGCGCCGTGTAAACGAGACGTTTGTAAACACGTCCGCCGCTGAAAGGTTCCGGGTCTGCTTCCGTGTCATGTGACTGTCACGTGACTCTCCTTAAAAAGACAGTTACATTAAAATCCGCTTCAGCGGGGACTGTGTGCAAGAACATTTGGAATTATTGTCCAGTAATTTGAGATTAAATTCATGTAACACATATCTTGTTTGCATTTTATGCATGATATTTTCCTGATGTATGAAAAAAACGTGAACTTTTACAGCAAAAGAAAAAAAAAACTGCTTTAAGTAAAAAAAAAAAAAAAAAGGTCAACTTCAGCTGTGATAATCTGCTAAAAATATCCCATTGATAACTGATCATGGTTTTCTTATCACTTTGTGTGGGGGATATAATCTGGTTGGTGGTTTCAAGTTTGGGTAGAGCAAAACATCACTTGCTTTATTTTTCTCTGCAGATTTGCCTGATTTGTGTGGGATTAAGCCTTTAACTTTTTTTTTTTTTACCCCCAAACTATTTATGTAAACTTGTTTTGAAAATTTTTATACAGCTTAATAATAAATATTACATCAAATTTACACAGTCAATAAAGGGATGTGTGACAGAAAAACGGTGGCTTTTCGTTCAACCTTTATTTATACGGGTTAATCCCATTGAGCCTCCAGGACTCATTTACAAGAGAGACTTATTTTTAACAAAGAGTGATGAAAACAGTAGACAATCATATAAATTAAGAAGAACAAATAAAAGAAAATTGAATAAAATAAAAAAACGAAACAAAAACGGGTTGTAAATCAATGTAGAATACTAAAAACAAGATGGGTTTGGTGCACATAATGACAGAACCAGCTGGTTCTGATGGAATTCATTCCCATAATAAAAACAAATATTGATAAATTGCTTAATTGCATCAATAAAAGTTAAGACCTTCTGCATTTCTCAGCCCCTTCCCCTTTCTCTTTTGATCCCTCTCATCACAGAGCAACCATCACCTTCCCTTTCCTCACTCACATCCTCCTCCTCCTCAGCTTCTCTCTCTACCAGGAAACACCCCAAACAAACTAAATGCACACGAGTGGCTTAAATAACTACGTACATGAGCTCACCTCCCCCGTCTCACTCGGTGCCTCATCAGGACCTGCTGCTACGTTACACAGTTACAGTGATGCTGAAACTTAAATATGTTTGCTATTGGGCTATGCTGAAAAAACCAAGTCATGTTTTGTATTAGATATCCTGTCATGCTGTGACTTTATTTTAGTTTGTATCATATAATCCCATGCAATGTGCACCTTTCTGATTTATGACCTCTTCTTACAATTTAGGATACAGGTATAACAGAAAATGCATGTACCGGTACAAACCATCAGCAGAACAATCAAAGCTCGGGTCTGAATAATGTACAGCTGGATCTTAGAACCCAGCAGTCTACACAAATGTAAATAATTTATATTATTGCATGAAAAATGGCATTGCTTGTGCATGTGAACGACTGGACGAAAACAGACTGTCGAAACTGAAACAAAAGGCTCATTAGATCAGAAACACTTCCAGTATGGAAGCTTTTATCACTCATCTGGTCTTCAACAGACAGAACGTTGTGAAGGCAAAAACACACGAGTATCATTTTGGACCATTTTCCTCCTTGTAAATCGTTTCAAATCACAATCACATTCTTTCACACGTTTGAGGAAGAAATTCCAAATGATTCAACTTTATTTTAAATGTCCTTAGGCACAGCTCCACCAGAATTATCTTTACCGTCTTTGCGGTCCTTCTTGCCTGGTCAGTGGATTAAGTTGAAATATCTTTTAGCAGATTTGCTAAAATGGCTTCATCTTTCCCTTTTTTTTTAAATTTTTTTTATTTTATGGTCCGTGGGATGTTCATGGTTTGGATCTTTTGCTTCTGAAGGCAATAGCTGTGGCATTGAAAAAGAGGGTGAATACATAACACCTACACAATGCTGTTCACTATTATTCAGAATATTTCATTCATTTAACTTGATCATATGAAGTATTTTTGTAAAGTTGTTGCTTGTAATCAATACAGGGCATCCAGACAAATATCAGATTTGCACAAAAATAATTCATAGAGCTTCTGTGAGATTCATTTATCTGCACTTTTGAATATCAGCTCTTTATTGCACATTTAACTACACTATACTATCTATACCATGGAAGGGCCAAATATAGCACGTTTAACATTTTATCTGGCCCCCCAAGACAATATTTTAAATTATTTATTTCTGACTACAGTTGGCCAACTCTGAAGCCAAGAAAAAATCGTTTGAAACTTTCAGTAATCTTTGATTTTGATGTGGAAAGAGCAAAAGAACAATTTAAGACTTTTGTTGAGAAACCTGCAAACGTGAGATGCCAGATTTCCGACTTGAGGTAATAATAATAAAAATTGGCCCTTGTTATGAACAATTTTATTTTTATTTTACCCCCTTTTGTAACAGATATGGACACTTCTCTATACTGTATATTCAAGAGGGAGCTCACATTTTAAGGAGGCAGTGCTATAATTTATTTAAATCTGGAGCCTCGAAATAAAACCAGCATGTCAACTATATCAAAACAAAGCCTTACTCAGATAAACTGCCGTTTTCATTCCAGTCAGGGAAGTGACAGTTTATTTTACAATTAGTCTGGTCTGTCAGATACCGGTGTTAGTACGGGTTCGTTTCACTTGTTTCTTGCCGCCAGCTTGTTTTTGGTTTATGAAATGTACGCAGCCTTCTGTTTTTTGTTACCAGTTTGGTTTGACAGTTATAGGTTTTATTCCCGGTTCCTCAGGTTTTCTGTCATCACATCTGTAATTCTCTCTAATCTACTCAATCATAATTACTCTCCACTTCCCTGGTTTACTGCCAGATCCACTTGCTGCTCTACATGTTCTGTCCTGCCTGCATGGCTTCTTTGCCCAATACCGTTGGGTTTTTACCTGCCTGCCTTTTTGGATCCACTTCACCACCCACCCTGACAGTTATTAGTTGCCATATTTTCTAATTAAAGGCTCGGGTTAATTTGTTGCCCAACTAAACAGTTTACAGAGTTTTCCAGAAATGTGAACATGAATTAACAGCTGTTAATGAGCTCCAGACACACTGCTTGGTGTACATTTAGTTATTTAAAATAGATCTTTTTAACTATAACTGAGACTTGACAGAACACATAAGGTTATCTGGATGTAAAAGCATAAAGCTGTTGAGATTATGGTGCAGACTAAAAGAAACAGAAGAACTAATAAAAGCAAAAAATAACAAAAAAAAAAATCTAAAAATGTGCGTGTGCAAGCCCTCTTGCACACACAAGGACGAAGGAACCAGAGCAATGGTACGATGGACTATAAGTATGCTGGGGAGGTGATTACAGAGTGGTCGCAGCTGCACCGATTAGCAGACGAGGAACCGGAGGGACAGGTGCGCTGAAACCAGAGATCACTGAGGGAAATTATAGTAGATAAATGGAAACCATTTAAAAAATGGCAAATATGTAAAATAAAAATGTACTTGTTATGAAAAAACTACAAAATCACCACAAAGAACAGAACACAGACAGCATAGATGCTAACAAAACATTTGACAGACAAACTGAGAGTCAAAACTGCTAAATGAGACCTTTTCTACTATGAGGAATTGCAGTTATTTTATGTTACACTGTTAAACAAAATGCTTCCATGTAGACATCATATTGATAATCAGGCGACTGTGATGATGAACTCATGTGAACCTGATGAAACAACAGAATTCATCTTCCTCTCTCGATGAAAGATGACTTGTTGTGACGTGATTATCTTTTACCCGCTTCTTCCATTTTGGGTCACGGGGTCGCCGGTGTCCATGTCCAGCAACCAATGTGCGAGGGGCGGGGTACACCCTGGACGGGTCTCACGTTCATCACAGGGACACAGAGACAAATACCATTCACTCTCTCACTCACACCTAGGGACAATTTAGAGTTACCAATCAGCCTAACATGCATGTTTTTCGTCTGTGGGAGGAAACCGGAGTACCTGGAGAAAACCCATGCATGCACGGAGAGAACATGCAAACTCCACCCAAATAGGCCCCCGGGACCAGGATTTGAACCAGGGACCTGCTCGAAGAGAGGCAACAGCTCTACCAGGTGCGCCACCGTGCTGCCCTATATATATTTATATATAAATATATGT